ACCGAGCAGGGAAACCTTTAGACTATTAAGTGCTCAGCTGAAGCCGAATACAATCCTGCTGGACAAACAATCTGCTCTGATTTCACCCTTGTATGTCTCCAAAGGGAGCTTACTATTTTCCTTTCCAACCAGGCACCTCTCTGACTTCCCAAATTCTATCCCTCTCTTTGAACTGACCTATCCTGTTAGGACCAGAAGGACTCCTGAACGGGCCTGTGGATTCATACAGATGTGGCATTCCATGCCATCTCCAGCTCGGGCATGTAAATTTAACCTTTCCCTATGCATACAGGGCAGGAGATATGTGCCCAAACCCAGTGCTGCAATGAAGATTTTGTGAGATTGTGTATCCAAGGCATCCAGCAGATGCTCTACAGATGTAAGCTCTTCTTTCCCTCACAGTGCTGACAGCTAAGACAATCCTCTCTCCCTCGGAGGAGCTGCCCATTTCATATTTTTATTGATTTATGCCAGGAAGAGTATTTAAAGCCAGGGCAGATGGTAGAGTTCCAGTTCTCTGATCAACAATCCATCCCCATTTGTTCTATTGATCTGTCCACCTGTTCAACTTCCTGATACTGCCCCAGTCCCCTTTCTTGTCCCCACTGTCAACCAAGCCCCAAACCCAGAATCTAAGGCACTCCTGTCCAGTTGTCGCTGAGTATGGATACACTGCACCCTCGCCCTGCTAACCTCTGTTCTGCACATTCTGTCCGATCTGGATGTCCAGCACTCTGGCTGCATGAGAAGCCCTGCTGAGCCTGTCCAGTTAGGTCTGCTGTGCTGGATTCTGACCTTGGGCTTGAGAGATAGCACAGAGCGGTTAAAAACAAGCTGTGTCAAACTGCTTGGTTTTAAATACAGCTTTATCACTTAATAACTGCAAAGCTTTAAGTATGTGATCATCTCCCCTTCCAGGGCTCTTGTGAAGTTTAAATAATAAAAAGAATTTAACATGTACAACTTGGGACCTGCCTTCCCAGGTAGGTCTCTAACAGAATCAATTCTACACCTGTCCCTACCACCACACACATGGCTATTTCTCCCGCTGGCCCAGCCTGTCTCCCTGTGCTGGTCCCTTCTGATCCATTTCATTCTACAAGCCCTGCAATGAACACAGATGCACCTTCATCCCAACATTCCGCCTCACCAGTGTTTCACAGTGGGGCTCACACTTTCTTTGGCCAACATTCTAATCCGGGACCAATCATTTTATGTCTCTTAAGTGATGTCCCAAATCTGTGCCTGGAGCGCTCCTCTTCCATCTCCAACAAATCCAATGAATTTAGATAAACAGCAGTTCTGTGGTCCTCACTTCACTTCCCTCTTTAAAATTTCACTGGCCCTACAAAGCCCCAAGAGTCTTCAATGTCATGACTGCCACGCTGCGCAAGGCTTCCAAAAGCAAAAATCACTGGGCTGGAAATAAAGCACACAGCTATTTACTAAAAGCACACAGATATGGAGACAGCATCAATTCCGCAGTGAGTAATATGATAGAAACCACACTCCTTTTGAAGTTCAGAGCAGAAGGCATTATTTCATCACTGAGCTTCACCTTGGTTGGAAGAAAAGGCCCACTTCTGGGATTTGGTTGTCTCTGAGCACCTGCGCTGCCTCTAAATGTAAACTCCACATCCGTATGCTGGACAGAGCACTTATCTCCTAAGCACCCGTACTGTTTATTTGACAGTGTCATTTGCTTGGAGAACCATAACTCTACGTGATCTTGACAGAACCCATTTTCCTCATGCAGCCATCACCAGGACCCTACGCATACAGGGCTGGATGCAAGCTTTAGCCTGAGACTATCGGAAGCACTCTTATCAATCGGATCAGGAAGCAACAGGATCTCTCTTTCTTATGGATTCTATCGCAAGAGCCTGGGCTTAGAATTAGAACAGTGGTTCATCTCTGCACATACCAAGAGGACCTTAGAGTAAAGCTGACTGTGAGAAAAACAGAATTGAGAAACGACGAGAGAACTCTGAAAAAAGTCACATGAGTCTCTGATGCTAGTGATGACAGAATCAAGATCATCTCTGAATTTTTCATTTGCATTGGCCAATGAATTCTTTTTTTAACCTAATTAAATTTAGGTTCTTTATGCTGATAATCAAATGAATCCCGATAACTCTCTTCGACAAGAATACAGGGTACAGTGATTCTAAGGGGTATCTGACCACTTTTGGTGCCATTAATGTCCAGGACAGCCCGAGGAAGATACAAGTGGAATTACTGCATAAATCCACAGCTTCACACCTTGCTACATTCCTATGCCTTCTGTGTAATTTCACCTCTGGTGACAAAGTTTCCAAAATACAACCTGGTCCTAGAATCCATCCTACTAATTAAGAGTTCAATTACTCAAAATTCCTCACCTGTATAGGAAATGTAGATTACTTCTTTTTTCTAGATGTACCCAAAGTTCTTGGAAGAGGCCTAAAGGATCTGTGATCATCACCTCCCCAGAATTCTGCTGGGAAGGTAGCAGAAGTTAGGTCAGAAGGAAGCACAGAACAAGAGCAACCAAGAGTGAACATCGATAATCCAACTTCAGGATGTCAGGAGGTCTCAATCTCACCATGGAAGATTCTTGTCTTTCCAAATGGAAAGTTTTACTCTGACATTTAACCTTCTCCAAACTCCAACACCAACCCAATCTCTTTCATCTCTTTACTTGGGGTTTCCAAAGCATACTGTAGCACTCCTATCTCTATAAATTCTGCAAAAAGGCAGCGGAGTGTAGGGGTGCAAATGCGCTGTACTGGTCTTTGCTTCGCTTTACTGGCTTCCTGCTCTAATTACCGCTGAGAATGTTCTGAAAATCAACTGCCATTATTTGTGAAACGTTGTGGAAAACCATCAAGTACCAAGTTAAAATTGGCATCTCTTGTTTCATTAACTCAAATAATCAGTGATGGACCAGTCACCCAGGACCAGATCTCCTTCATTTTCTGGCATGACCCTTTTCCTACATCTGACGCATCGTCCAGCCTGCTCCCTTCAACCCTAACTCTACAAACTGCAACCCCACATACAGACACTCACACTCTGATTTCATCCTGGCCTTAATTCCACCGGAAGTCACTAACACAACATTTTAAGGGAATGCAAATGTCACCAATCCAAAGATTTTATTCCACAGCTGAGGGCACCAAGGACCACAACATTCAAGGACCTTGTCACAAGCAGTGATCAGGTCAAGATGACAAGCTTCCCATCCAGATCCTTCATGACCCTCAGCCCAGCCTGCATTGGTTTTCTGAAATCTGGAAACACTAGAAGTACAAGGTGCACTGTGGCACATTTACCAGACCCGGCCCCCAAGCCTCCCTCGTGCAAGGCAGCCTAGCAAGTGCTCACCAAGCAATGTCCTTTGAGGGGTGACCATGTACCAGATGTTAGCAGAAAACACATGCCTTAATTCCAGGAGGAAGCGGGTACACATGTGACAAAACTGCAAATACTCTGTAATAAAATGAAGGATCTGTCTCACTGAAGGTTTGTTTTTCGGTCCCTACACAAATCTTACCAAATTTAGTTTGCTTAACAAAGACTCCCTGTACTGTCTCTTATTTATATGAAATGTATCAGAAAACTGCTTCCTCTTTTGAGTTCTACATCCTGTTTAATAAGCACTATGAGAACTCTGTGCTTACTAGGAGACTTACTATTTTTTTATCTTCTAATTTCGTAAAAGGTGACATCTGTTTGCATCTTTGGCTTTACCTATTTCTGTAAACTTTGTATGAATTTCTTTTCCTTTATGCTAACAGTCTCTGTGGGAATGACACAGTTTAACCAATTAGTTCAGATACACTCCCCTGTACCTTAGTAGTTATCTTTCTCTTTCCAATAAGCTATTGTCAAAATTCCAAAACTACACAAGTCCAAATATAGCAATCTAACTCTTGGAGCATTCAAAGGCATCACTAAGAATCCCTCTAAGTTATAACAAATGCAGCCATTCCACTGGAAAATGACCATTTCTGATTCAATCTTTCAGACTGCAGATAAATTCAGACACTTTATTTAATTAGACCTGACCCAAAAGCAACAGGTGAAGGACTGCTCCCCAAAATGCCTAGAAATTACAAACAGACTTCCTACGAACAACTTTCCCTTTACCAACGGCTTTCCCAGGATAGACACAAAGATAATTATAACCAGGGTTCCAAATTATAGCTAAATTAGTCTCATTATTATGAGCTCTCTAGTAAGACTTTGTCAGGGAAAAAGTATTCCTAAGAGTTTAATACTACATGCATTTTTCATAGTAAAAACTCAAAACATTAAATTGCTAAAACATTCAGCATAGATTCCACTTATTTGAAGCATTATTTTATGTTTAGAAATAAGCATCACTTGAGCTGTTTGAAAAACATGAAAACACAATCAGAAGCCTTGGTATAGATAAACACTAGTAGGAAATAGAGCTCTAAGACTTCACCGTCTTTTCTCAAACTGGAAAATGTGGTCTGGTATTAGTAGCCAAATAACTCACCAAAGGTCATTTCATGTGGTTCTGTGTAACTGAAAATGAAAAATCATTAAAGGAACTAGCTTTCATAAGAGATCGGTAGTATTTACACATGAAACGTGCAGAACGCATACCTCTGAACTCTGCTGGACAGCAAAACCAAAAGAGTTCAATACTCTTACTGAAAAATAAGAGTATTTGTTGATTTCTGAACTGTTGTTCAGATACTTCTGAAGGTCTTCAGAAGGAAAGACAAGGGGAGCACAACACGTTTAGTTTTGTAACACACCAGATTAAGGTTTACAAGGGCTACTTCCAATTTCTCCAGATAATTAATACAGACAGACACACATACACACACACATATATGGAATTGGATGGGGCAGCTGCCTTTCTCGCTGACATTATGTGAGATACTGATACTGAACAATGAACCGTTTTTATTACACACACGCTCACGCACACACACGCAACTTCTCTAAATCTGAGTAAACACACATAGAAAGCCTGCACCTACACAACAGGAAGTGTGGGCTCCAACAATTCGGAATCGCGGAAGAATGCTTCACGAAGTGGGTCGTGCGAGCCCTGCGTCCTTTCTTTAGGGGAGCGCCCACGCGGGGACACGCACGTGCGGAACCACCGCTGCCCTCCGCCTCCGCCACCCGGCTGGCGGCGCCCACCTGCGCTGCCCGAGACAAAGGCGGCGTCGCGCGTGGAGACCGCGGGCGCTGCGGAGCTGGGGCTGCCCCCCGGGGTCCGGAACCCCGGCGGGCTCGGCGGTGTCCCCAAACTTCGGGAGCCCTCTCGCCTAACTCGGGAGCCGGCGAAGCGGCAGCGAGCGGGGACGCCCCGTGCCCAGCGAGGTCCCCGGCCCCGCCCCGCGCGCCCCCTCACCTGCGCGGCGCGGGCCTGGGCTCCGGCGGCTCTGCTCTTCTGCTCCCGGGCGGTGGGGACGTCGGGCGCTCTGGGGACTGCGCGGCGGGGCCGGGGCGTCAGCGGGGACCTCGACGACGGCGGGCGGCGGCGCCCTGGCTCTCCATCTCGGCGGGCGCGGGGGGCGCAGGGGGCTGCGGGGAGGCGCGGGGCGAGCGCGCGGCCAGCGAGGTGGGGCGCGGTTCAGGCGTGGCCCCGCCGCCGGGAGACAAAAGCGACCCGGCCCGCGAGGGAAAGTTTTCTGCTTCGCTCCCCGCGATCCCCGCCGGACACCCTCGCCCTAAACCGCGCACCGGCGCGCGGAGGCGGAGGCGGCTCCCTCGGTGTGGCCCCGCGGCGGGGACCCGGGACGGCGGTGACCGCGCTTCCCGCGCCGAGACCCCGACCCCGCCGCCGCGCGCCCGGGCGCGGAGTTCACTTCAGAGACCCTAAGCCCGCGGACCAAACCCGGCTCGGCGAACGAGGCACCGCGCTCAGGCGCTGCTCTCCGGACCGAGGCCGGCGCGCGGGACCGACACACCCACCGCCTGCCCGGCCGCGGGACCCGGAGCCAGAGCCGAGACCTGCGCGCCCGGACCCCGCAGCCGCGCGCGAAGCCCCAGCCGAGCCCAGCTCGCTCTGAGCAGGCGCCGCAGGACCCTCGCTCCACGCCCCTCGGCCGCTTCCTTATCAGGTGGCGCCTGGCGGGTCGGGGTCCCCCTGGCGGCTGCGCCGGTGCTGCGCTGCAGAAGCCGACGGCCCCGAGCGGACAGGGTGACACCACCGGGACCACAGCGCTCAGTGCGCAGCAAAGCAAGGGCTCCGGTCCAGGGGAGCCGCGCGGGGGCGAAGTCCTGGGCGGGGCCTGGAGCGAGTCGGACGCGGGGGCACAGTTGAGCCATGCTGAGTTTAACTGCAAACATCAACGCCACAGAGAGGCTCAGGTTATCCTTTTTCTTTTTTCTTTATTTATTTTGCCTCCAAATACCAGTGAGTACTAACTACCGTGTTCATACACTGTGAGATAACATGGTAGTTACCTCCAGCTCTGCAGACAGAAGGTCGATCCAGTACCTAAAGTTTTACATAAACCTCTGGATACTGGATATAGTCCCCTGACAGCGCAAGCCTGGTCCCCTGTATGCGGGTGTGGGAAATAAACCGGTGTGTCCCTCGGTGTTGTCTAGTGATTGGCAAGCAGGCAAATACGGTGTTTTGGTACAGTGTATGTGTGTCCCGCGTAGGGGCGTCTGACTAGTTTTCAAGAAAAGTCTGTTTCTGGAGATAGAAAATGTATTGGGCTTGTTGTATGTGGGTGTGGAGGGGCAAAGGTCGTTCCATGAAAAATTCCACATGGAAACGAAATCTAGAAAATCACACCTGGCAGTGAGGAGAGACAGTAGAAAAACATAAAGGAAAGGAGAGCAAACTAAAGAAGTTGGAACGAGGTGGAGAGATGTCAACCCTGTGGATTATCTACAGCTCTAATTTTATTCACCCTGCATCTACCCCTGGTCGTCTTTAACTCACAGCTGCTCAGGTCTCTTTGGATTTCTTCTATATTTGTCAAGGAATCCCATCAAAGGAGCAGGAGTCCACGGGGCTCTCCTTTTGGCCGCTGCCTTTACATTTTATAAAGATACCCCGAAGCCACGTTTCTGTATGAAGCTCCTGCGAGAAGACACATCCCGTAGCCCTTAGTAGCTTCCTCGGGGAAGAATAATAGACTCATAGTGTGCACAGAGATCATTTAACATGACACCCTATATAAAACAGGCAGCGAACCATTTAAAATAGTCGTCTAGACATTTTAGGCGCAGAACGGTTGAACCGGCCTCAGAATGGAATGGAAGAGGACACAAGCACATTCCTATGGCCGTTTACAGTGATATTTCACTTCTCAACTTAGATTTCAGTGATTCAAACAAAAAAGAAGGAAGATGCACTAGATAAGATCAGCAAAAGAAAATTATAAGTAGAGGCAAATCTGCAATTCAGTAGTCCAGAAACGCCCATGACATTAGTTACAAATCTTTCTCCAGCATCCAGTGCTCATGGCAGGCGAGCTCGGGTAAATTATTTAATCTTCGCTAATGGCCAATGTTTTTCCATCTGAGAAGAAACCAGGAGTATGCAGTGCCAGTAATGGATTTTGAATTTAGCTCCACATCTGCTTTGGAAATAATGGCTGGGAATCAACTGTTTCTTACCTCTCACCGTCAAAAGCGGCACAGTAATGTGTTTCACACATAATTATTTTTTGGTGTGTCCTAAGTAGTGTAGATCTCCACTAGAATAATCTCATGTTAGAAGAACACAAAGTGGAAGGAGTAAGTCTCCCTATAATCTAAGTCCCTAATAATCAAAGAACTTGAACTAGATTTCTTTTATTTCTTGGGTATAGAACCAAAGCACCTATTCCAAATGTTATGCAATTCATTGAATTATATATAGGCTTATTAGTTATGTAGTTCCTGTACTCATATACTTGGAAACACACACTCGCACATAGGTATGCACACCACACTTATCTTAATGTTATTACTCAGTCAACGCGTTCAACATAGCAAACTTCGAAGAAATAAGCATATTGATCTGACCACTGGTAGAGACCTCTTATCAGTGACTCAACCAAGGATTAACTTGAGAAAAATCCCCAGTTATAAAGACCATTATTGTCACTCTTGGCACACTATAAATGTAAGCCTACTAAGTGGCAGTGGGATTTTCATTATGTAAGCATACATTGGAATGAAAATGTTTATTCTTTAACAGATTGGGCAACAAGGCGAAGAGAAAGCTTTGAAGATGTTTTTGTGAAATTATACCCTCTTTTTAGCCAGAATGTAACCCTTCGTCTCCCAAGACCAGCTCTCAATCAGAAAATAAAAATGTCTTCAATGGAAAACAAATGGAATTGTTTGTGAGAGCTTTGTCTGAATTATCTTCCTCCAGCTGTGAAGTAAATTGATTTAAAGTCCCCCAGGTTCCATGATGATAGTCATGGCTGTTGCTTCAAGATAGGAAGCAAAGAAGGTAAGGAACAAGAAAGTGATCTTGCTGATTTCACACTGAAAATAAAGAGAGATGAAAGAAAAGTGACAGAAATACAAGAGAAAGCTAAAGCTAATGGAAATGCATTTTAAAAAATTAAAGTCATTTTTACTTCACTGTGATTTTTGAAGAACTTTGTCATTTTTCTTTTTTTACTATGTACAATTGACTGATAATTCAAAGATTTAGCAGCAAAAAGATACTGCAAATTTCTTTTCTGTCCATCAAATATTTGAGTGAGGATGCTAATCGCTCTGAAATAGATGTTTTATAATATTAAACCCTGCCTTAGTTACTTTTTACTCATCGCTGAGACAAAATACCTGAAGCCCAAAGCTGGGAAAGGAAAGATTTATTTCTTACAGTTTTTGGAGGTTTCAGTCCACACTCGGTTGGCTCCCAGGCAGGTGGGCATGGCTGGGCCACCTTTTCATGGTGGCTGCAAACCGCAAAGAGGAACCAGCAAAGAGCAAGACACAGCTTCTTCCTGCCATTACATCACATCCTGGCTCCAACCTAACTGGGTGTAGCACTAACACCATCAATCCAAGCACTATACAATGAACGAATAACAAATGCACAATTCAAACTCACAAGGCCTGGGGGACACAGACATAAACGATGACAAACCCTGAACTGCTACTTAAGTATTTTATAAATTCAGTATTAACTTCTTTATTGGGTTAGAAACCCAATTAAATTCCTTGTGCCTGAGGTCATGACAGCATGTCATTTAAAAATGTTAGAAGAAGCACATGTTTTCTCTTCTTAAGCCCCAGTTCTTTCCTCTAGATAGATTTGCTTTTGTTTGAATGGAAAGATCACATCTTTGTCACTTTTCTGATCTCCAGGACAGAATACCCAATATACACCTGCACTGAAAGGCGAGAAAGTTTATTTTGACTCCTGGTTGCAGAGTCTCAGTTCACAATCTGCTGTCTGAAACCAGAGCTGGTATTGTGGAAGAGCGTGCTGCTCAGGTCAGGAAACTGGGAGAGAAGAGAGGAGCAGAGGAGGGAGATGAATTGGCCCAGGTCATGCCCTTGGTGCCCCAATTCTTCTTAAAAGGTCTCATTTTCTAACAGCAAGTCAACTGTATGCCTCCATGATTCAACTGCCTTCCAAAATCCCTGCCTGTGAGGCAGTGAGGGCTTTGGAGGGCATTCTTATTCCCAACCGTAATTGCTCACCTCATGGCTGGGAGCAATTCAAGAAGTACTTTTTCAAAACATTCTGATCATCAATGGCCCATTCCCTGCCTGGATACCAGCACCACACATAGCCACTACTGGAGTGGGGACAGCCAGACCCAAGCCTCTCTCCCTGAGTCAGCGTCATTTGTGGACTGTGTGGGAGGAGAACAAGGCCTCACCAGGAAGGGATCCCCACCTGGAAATCATATCATTTTCATTGTTTTGTTGGGCTGGGTTTTGTTCTCTTTCGTTTTGTTTGATTATGTTAAATCTAATGGCATGTGTAGCTATTTAAAAGACAGATTATGGTAGCCATTTTGGATTTACTGTTGGCTTGTTTTGAAGTCCTTTATTGCGTTGATTGTTTTGCTTTTATTGTTTGTATTCTATTCTGTTTAATTTTTGCTATGTTGGAGGTATCTGCAGCTCTTTTGAAGACAACAAAAGATATTATGGTTACTATTGTTGATTTCGTAAAGTTTTGAAATCCTATATCACTTAAACAGGTTTGTTTTGATTGGTTTTATCCTGTTTTGCTTTCTTTAGTTTTATCCTGTTTAAAATAATTCTTAAAAAACATATTCTGATCGTGTGTTTTAAGAGTTTACTCACAGAAAGCAGAGGTGAAATATGATCGCGCCCACCT